TGCACCTCTCGGCCCGCCGGCAGCCCCTGCTCTCCTGCCACCCTGATGCCCTGTACGGGTCCCTCTTCGGCTCTGCTGAGGCCTTTGTGGTGCTGCCCAATGCCACCCGCGTCCCTGCTTTTCTGCTGAACATCGTGAGTGGCTGATGGCACAGGGTCCTCGGTCTGCGATCCAGGCTGGGGCTGTGCTGGGGCTGTGCTGGGGCTGTGCTGGGGCGATGCTGGGCAATGCTGGGGTGATGCAGGGTGATGCTGGGCAATGCTGGGGCAGTGCAGGGTGACACCGGGCAGTGCAGGGTGACACTGGGTGGTGCAGGGTTGCAGGCACTGCCCTGCTCTTCCCAACATCTCTTCTTGCTGCAGGACGCCAACGTGACAGGGAAGCCGACCATCACCGGGAACAGGCTCGGGGGCACCGTGAGCCTGAAGGGGTGAGTCCCCAGCCCCATGCTGGGTCCGTCCCCCCCCATGGATGTCCCCAGGGAGCTCCCCCCATTCTCCACCTCTGGTCTTTTGCCTCCCCGGGTCCCTATTGCCTGCTTGGACCCCATCCTGCCCCCAGCTCTTGGCCATGCCCACTGCCCTGGCAGTCGTACCCCAGCTGAGTCCTCAGCTGGACCCGCTCTGCCAGGCTCCCCACTCTGCCGTGGGGCTCAGCCCGTCCCTGCCCCGGGAGGGGACAGTCCTGGTGCCTGGCTCTCACCCCGCTCTCACCCTCCAGGCTCATGACGCAGGTGGTGACATCACATGTGGGCCCGGTGGAGGTGAGCCATGCCAGGGGCGCGATGGGGCAGCCACGGGGAGCCCTTGGGCTCTGCACCGGCCTGGGAGCAGGGGCTGGAGGGTGGGGTTTGGGGGTGCTGTGGCCCCTGTGCAAGGCGGGTGCAGCCCTGGCAGGGGAGCTGAGCCCTGCTGGCCCCATGGCCCCCTCTGCCTGCCCTGGGCTGGGCTCAGGGCGCTGCTCGTCCTCCAGGTGAAGAGGCTGGAGAACATGCTGAAGTTTGGGCTGTGGCTTTTCGGGGTGCCCCAGGCAAACAGTGAGTGCTGTCCCCATCCTGTCCCCGTCCCCGCTGCGGCTGCCCTAGAGCTGCCCCCCCTCACGGCTCTGCTCTCCCCCCAGAGCGGCTCCAGGCTGGCGTCCCCCTGCCTGCCCTGCAC